ACAGCCCCGCCCCCACCCCCTGTGGCCCACCTGCTCATAACAGCTGTTGCCAGAGAAGGGCGCCAGGAGAGGCGGGAAGGGACACCAATAAGGGAGGGGCAGGCAGAGGCCTTGAGGAGGTTGTGGGCGGGAGGAGAAGGCCTTGACCCTGCAGCCACACCTGAGGTACCTGCCTCTCTCTCCTTTCCTCTGTTGCCCCCAGGGTCCTTCTTCCTTTTCCTGCATCCTAAGAGCTGGAGGGGACTTGGGCTCTGGGTCCACCTTCTTGTGGTCTGTAGGGACACTGGGACTCACAGGAAAGCGGCTGACCCAAAGCCCATATCCTGGGGCTAAGAATTAAGATTCCTGCCCTCGAGGTCATGGCCCATACTGACCCTGAGCACAAAGCTGGTTCTCCTGTCGAGGGCCTAATCCTCCCCTCCATCTTCCCAGGCAGTGTGGTGGGAGCCTCACTGTTCCTGGAGCCCCCCACTTGACATCATCCAGAGCCTCTCAGCCTTGCTGGACACCCACACTTCCAGCCCATCTTGGTCATTCCCACCTCCAGCCTTTGGTGTGGGCCCCTCAGCCCACCTTGCTCAGCATACAAGCCAGGCTTCTCTGAGCTCTCCTGTTGGGGATGGCGGGGCGGGGCTGTCATGTCATTTCTGTACCAGGGTCTCCCTATGTCTATTAGGCTGGCCTCAAACTCAAGATCCCCTTGCCTCTGCCTCCCAAGGGCTAGAGTTATAGGCACGCATCCCCACGCCCCAGTCCCAGGAATCTGTTTTGAAGCAGAATTTCTTCGAACCCTGGACTCTCCAGGGACAGCCAGAACTGAAGGTTATGACCAAGAACAAAAGACTTCACGTGAGGAGCCAAGGTGGATAAGGTACAGTGAGAGCTCTGGGACCCTTGCCCTCCTTGGCAAGCTGTTCAGAGTCTCCAAGGAAACAATTGGGTAAGCACATCGACCTCTTCCGTACCTTTATCATCACACCTGGCATTCACCTTGTGCTCCCTGATGGAAAGATATAACTTTGTCCTCAAACCTTGGAGGGCTTCCAACAGGTCAGTCTCCCCATTTTACAGATAGGGATACTGAGGCCCAGAAGACTAAAGGACCCTGAGGACTATTCAGCTTAGAAGGCCAGGATGGGTTGTGAACCCAGGAAATCTACCCTCAGAGCCCCCTACACCCACCCAGTCCCTTTTCAGACTCTCCAGCTGCTTCAGTCACATGACCACAGTGAACTAAGCAAAAAGGCTTATGGTTTTCCTTACCAAGCCTGGGGCTCCTCCAGGGCCCACTGCAGGCAGGCCCAGGTGCTCTGTCCACTCCATTCTCTTTAACCCCCAACGCAGCATCCTCAGCCAAGCCAGTGAGGCAGGAAGCGGTCAGAGGACCTGGCTCTCCCCTCCCCTACAGGTTAGGTAGGCTGGTACCTAGTGCCCAGGAGGCCTCGCATCTCCCAATGGCCTGTCTGTTCTAGCCCCTTCCACCACCCCAACTTCACTAGCAAGGACATGGAAGCTCAGAGGCATGTGGGAACTTGAACCTACTGGCTGTGCTGGTCTCTGCCAGCCACCAAGTTAAGCGGTGGTGAAAGGCATCTCAGGGCACTGAGCTGCCTCTGTACAGTTACAGACTCTGCTCTGGATCTCCCACGAGACAGGAAGGAATCTGTCAGAAGATGCCATTGAAGAAGTAGGTGTGTAAGGACTGTGCCGGCTTACTCCACGACATCCTTTGTTGGACTGGCCTCAAGTTTGGGGGTGGGGAAGGGTGCCCAGCACATGGGGACAGCCAAGCACCCTTCAGCAGTGAGTGAGTCCATGTAGACTGGGTAGAGCCTCCTAAGCACATGAGGTCGGGGGGGCGTGGATCAGAACTTGGGAACCACCACCCAGTCCTAGTGCTGAGTGAGCCCAGGTACCCCAGCCCTTGGTAGTACTACACACACACACACACACACACACACACACACACACACACACACACACACCCGCTCGACACCACAAACACCCCCTCCCTCAGCACACACACACACACACACACACACACACACACACCCGCTGGACACCAAAACCATACCCTGTCAGCCCCCTCCTGTGGCTACGAGACATTTGGATGTGAGGCTGGGGTTTGACTTAGTGCTGATCTGCTTAAGAGTGATGCGTGGGATCCTGAGCACTCTCCTCCCTGTGTGAGAGCAGGCAGACTCTTTCCCGTGATGTCCACTAGACCTTGGAGCTCCTGAACAAATGTGTCACTGACCTCAACTCCTGAACTTCGGATCCTGGACATATAGGCACACCTGCCCAGCTGACACTTGAGAGCATGGGCCTCTGCAGGTTGTCCTCTGCTGCAGTCTCTCCGCAGACCAGGAGCGTGTGCTCTGTGCCCTGTGTCCTGACCACCACTTCCTCAGAGCCCTGCCGTGCAGCAGTGAGGAACCTTGTGGGGCCCAAGATCTCTCCCCTCAAACTGTCATTTTTCACAGCCAGCTCCGTCTCATGTGATGGCTATACTCAAAGATGATAACCGGGAACTCCTTCGCTGTAACCACCTCCCAGCAGATACAATATATCAATTCTCCTCCCTAAACATTGTGAGCGGATACAATATATCAATTCTCCTCCCTAAACATTGTGAGCGCAAGAAACTGTTATCAGTCATGTAAGTCATAAGATCTAACTCTGATAACCTCATTTCCACAGTATACAGCACACAGTGACCCCTCCCTGCAGCCCCCTGCTAGTGCCAAGGATGCCAACTTAGGGCTGGTGATGTCGAGAGTACTGCAGCCAGACATCCCAAGTCATCACTTGTCTTTGAGTTTTGTCTTTGCTCTTGGGGCTGCTGGGAGTGCTGAGCGTACAGTTGGACCAGTGGCTGTTCTCCCTCGAGGACCTAGCATCAGGGTCAGAAGAGAGCTGCAGAGGGGAGGCTGGGCAGCCCGAGTTCTAGGGAATCCCCACCTCCAGGAGCTGAGCTGCGCACCCAGGAATTTCATCCACGGCTTTACTACAAGGCGTGTCACTACCTGACACAGCGGGCCCCTTGTTTGCAGAGGCACTGTGCCCCACCCTCATTACCCCTGCTGGGAGCAGCGTGCCCCAGCAGGCGAGAGCTCGTGAGCACCTCTGCCAACATGTTCATATTGGGCATCCTCAGGGCCAGGGGTGGGTACCACATCCCCAGTCTCAGGGGCCTGGAACTGCTCTCTGCCTCCCCCTCAGTCTAGGACCCCCACCAGGGAAGGTCAGTGGGGTCCTTGGACACTCTGCCCTCTAGGGCAGCAGGGGCTGGGGGAGGCAGCTTCCAGAACTCCTGAGACTGACATCTTTAGAATCTTTGTATAGGGTCCTCCCTCCCTAGACCTGGTAGTTATGTCCCATCCTTCTAAACAGGAGGGCACCAGTGTCTAGAGGGGGCCCTAGATGGAGAGTCAGGATCTGGTGTCCACGGAGTAGCAGGTAGGACGGGGACTGTGCAGAGGGAGAGGAGGAAAGGACAGAGCTTCACCTTCTCACACTGCTGCAGGGCACCTCTCTAGTCAAGCCCTAAATCACTCTGCTGCAGCGTCTGCCTCAGTTTCCTTTGCCTGTGAAATGGGAGCTCACAGGAGCTAAGTGAGCTGCCTGCTCATCCTGAGCAGACACAGAGGCTGGGGCTGGGCAGGTAGAGCCTCAGAGTGGGCATCGCTGGGGCTAGAAAGCCTTCTCCCAGCTCCACGTGAGCTGGTGGGCACTGCCTAACCATACACCCTCCGCAGGGAGAGGATCAGGACCTGGTGCCTCCTGCCACCCTGGCTTTGCCACGCACTGTGGGGCTGGAGCCTCACAGGCCTCCTACCCACTGATGCCCAAGGTGGCCAGAGATGCCCTCAAAGACAGGGCTGCAATGGGGTGAGGAAGGGGCTCCAGCCCTTGAAGGGGGTGTTGTAGCCTCATACCCGCCTCACCTCCAGGGTCTCGTTTCTCTAGCACATGGCCCATCGGGTGCTGACAGGAGGGAGGCTCTACCAGAAGCCTACTCGGCACCTCCAGGGCCCCGGCAGCCGACTTGTGCCAGCTTGGCCTGGGCTCTGCCTTTCCTCATGTGCTTACACAGTTCCTCCAACAAGCCCTCACCGGAGACTTCCCCAGCCCTCTTGTCTTGTGGGATCCCAGCACCCTGGTGGTCCAGTGGGGGGAGGGGCTGTAGACAGCAGGCCTCAGGGGGGCCTCCTCAGGGCTTAGAGGTCTTCACAACCCCTTCTTGCAAATACCAGCTGCCTCCCTCAAGCTCCCAGTGCCACTAGGACCTGGCAGTGGCGGCCAGAGAGAACAGGGCAAGGAGAGGCTGACCCCCATCAGCCGGAGCGGCCCGCCTTCTTGCCAAGAGGGGACCCAGTGGAGGCCTAAGTCGCTCAGGCTGGCTGCTTGGTGTCTGTCCCAGCCCCCAAAAGGGACAGGAGCCTCCAAGATGGGGAATTGGGCCATTGTCCCTGCTGGCCACATCTGCCCTTCTCATGGAAACAGCTTCCTAAGCTCCTGTGGGGAATCTATCTCACTGTTCTCTACTTTGACCTAGTCCAGAGGACAGGGATCGCTCAGAGGCAGATAGGAAATGAGAATATTCAGACCAACGTAAGGCAGGTCTGCTGGGCTATCGGAAAAGAGAGGGTACCACAGGGTCTCAGGATGCCGGAGGAACCCAGAACCCTTCTCTCTGAGGGAAGGGGCCTCCTAAGAAGAAAGCAGCTCCAGGAAGTGGGTAACAGAGAGAGAGGCAGCCGGGAACTACCTGGACCTAGTCATGCTGGAAGCTCTTCAGACCGCTGGACCCAATCACACTTGAACCCATTCCTACCTCTGGACTGATAAGAAAGCTGATTCCGTATTTCCTTCTTTGTTCTTCGAAGTTGATTGACCCACCCGAAGCCCTGCTTCCCTGGTTCTGCCTGGCTCCCAAGAAGGGCGGGTCTAGGATTTACCACCAATGTCCAGTCCTCAGCCAGGAATGCCCCACTCACAATGGCAGACGAGGTCATGCCAGGCAGATGGAAGACGTCCATGCCAGTCTCCTCACTGCCCACAGTCTCGCTAGTCCCCTGGCTGGGTTGGGGAAGGTCAAAGTACGTGCTGTCTGGCTCCCTGTGTTGGAGGTAAAGAAACTGGCTGTTAGTGTCTGGTCTAGGATCATCCAAGACTTCCCTTGCCCATGGTACTAAGCTAGCTCTCGGCTCCTGGAAGCACTTGGATGTCCCCGCCCAGGGATTGTGTGTTCCTGATCTCCTGAAGCCTTCCTCCCACCCTCCCCTCCCAGGGAAGCATGGCTACACATGAGCTGTGTCCCTAGACCTGTTCCACCCACAGCCCCTCTAAAGAACTGGCCAGAGGGCTGGGGAGATGGCTCAGTGGTTAGGAGCACTGCTTGCCCTTCCATAGGACCCAGGTTTGGTTTCTAGTACCCACATGGCAGCTAACAACCATCTATAACTCCAATTTCAGGGGATCTGACACCCTTTTTTGGCCTCCACAGGTTTGCATGCACATGGCACACAAACACACATGCAGGCAAAACACCCGTACACATAAAAGCAAAAACTAATTTGGGGGTTGGAGAGATGGCTCAGTGGTTAAGTGTACTGACTGCTCTTGTAGAGGACCTGGGTTTGCTTCTCAGCACCCACATGGCGGCTAACAATTGTAACTCCAGTTCCAGGGGATCAGACATCCTCTTCTGACCTCTGTGGGCACTGAATGGCACAAGTGCTTACATGCATGCAGGCAATACACTCATACACACAAATTAAAATAAAAATAAAATATTTTAAAAAGAACTGGCCAGAGGACGGCTCCTGACTGTGGACATATGCTCCTAGAAGGCCCAAGGCAGCTGCTCTCCTGGCAGACCCCTCTCCCAACCAGCTCCAAGCCAGCCAAGGCCAACCAAGCCCAGTGAGGGGGATTCTATCATACTCACAGAGAGCTCCAGAGATGCTCAAAGGTGGCTCCCTCGCCAGGGGAGGAGGAGGGGGACCGGGCCATCTCCCCGACACTTCTGCTTGCTCTAGAGGGAGGAGGAAGAATTGTGAGCATCCAGGAAGTCCCATTCCCTGCCTTCCCCTGGCACCCGGGGAGGCTACGACAGCGCAGTGACAGCCCCACGTCGCTACTGAGTAACCCCACCCTGCCCAGACCCCAGGTTTTTTCTATTCCCTCCCTTCCTTTCTCCCCCACAGCAGGCACAGGGAGTAAGGCTGAGGCAAGCACTGGAGTTTGGCCTCAGCGCCTGGGTTCTGCTGAGGGGGCGTGGGGTCCGGGCACTCTGTGGGGCTGCTGTGGGCTGAGTGGATTTAGCCTCTGTAGTCCCAGGTCAGCTTTTGAAGAATGAGCCATGACTGCTTGCCCTGACTCTATAGGTGTGGCCAGGGTGTGATCAAGCAAGCCAGTTCTGAGGGAATGGGCATCCCCGATGCCCAAACTCCATCACCTCTTCTTAGGTAAGAGTGTGTGTGTGTAGGGCGCCCCCTGCTGGAGCGCAGCCTGGGATGTGTTACTGGGCAGGCTGCCCTGGGCCTGAAGAGGGGTGAGACCCACCTTGGACCCACTGTCAAGAAAATTCTACCCTGTGCAGCCCCAGACCAAGGTCCTGAGACTTCCCTGGAGCTGTCACCTGTGGATGGCCTGCTCCTTAAAGGAGATGTCGGGAACAGAGTGCCCTGACCCCAGCTGGGACTCACTGGGTCCACTTCCTCTGCACAGCCTGTCATGTGCAGCTCCCATCCCTCTCACAGCCACCCAGGAGGCAGTAACAACCGAGGCATGCAGAGCAAGCAGTCACTGTGGGAGAGTGGGGCAGGTAAACCCCAGCCCACCTGCCCACTGCCTCTACCCAGGCCAAGGAGCAGCTCCCTTGGGCAGCCTCCTGGGCCTTGGGAGCTGGTCTAGCCCCGCTCTGCACTGCCAAGCCAACAGGTCCAGACCTGCCCAGGGCTGGCAGGGAAGAGGGAGGGCACAGCCCACAATCTGTCGCTTTTGTCTGTCCCCAGGCAGGCAACTGCTCATCGAGGTTTGTGACACACTTCTAGAGCCTGCACGTGCTGGGCTGCTGGTCCCCATGAAAGTGGTGCATGATGGGAGGGCCAGTGCAGGGGCCTGGCTGGCACAGGTAAAGAGGCATGAAGGTGGAGGTTCCGCCAGAGAGCAAGGATGACCCAGGACAAGCAGCTTAGAGAACACTGAGCCCACCATGTGACAACCATCCCCTATTCAGAGTATAGGCTTGGAGTTGTTAAGTGACTTCCTTGCCCAAGGTCACTCAGCTATAAGCCCAGGAACAAATGAATAACGTAATGCTCTTTCTCAGAGGAGGGAATTATTTCCCCCACCTCTGAATCACCAGTTGTGAGAGTTTTGACACGTGAAAACAGTATAGAAGGTGGCAGAAACCCACCTTCACCAGCTCTGGGGGGTGTTGTCCTTTCTGGTGAGCAGTTATTGATCAGGAAGCTATCTCTGTGCAGGCAGAGTGAGCTGGTTAGCTGGGCCAGGCTGGCGAATGTGGAGAAGATGGTGGTATAGAGAGACCAGCTGGGCTAGTCAACTTCCTCAGACCCAAGAGGACATTCCTGGAAGTCCTGCCCCCAGGGTCCTGCCTCTCCCACTGTACATAGACCATCCTAAGCTCACAGAGGGAAAGGGCACGGTTCATGGCATGCAGTAAACGAATGCAAAGCCTGCATCCCTTCACAGCCTCATTCTTTTTAGCCAGAAGGAGTGGAGAGCTGGACACCCATCAGCCAAAGAGCAGACAAAATGCGGCCCATGCAAGTTTAGGGTAGTGCTCGCCCATGGAGAGGAACAAAGTACTGATTTACATACACCACAACGTGGACAAACTGTGAAACATGACACTGAATAGAACAGTTTGTTCCCAGAGGCCACCACAGAACAGGAAATTCACATGGGAGGGAGGTGGATTGGGGGTGCCAGCCTGCAGAGGTGTAATGGGAAGCAACTGCTTTTGGGCCCCAGGATCCTCCTCGGGTTGCAATATTCTGGGACCAGACAGAGGTGGTGGTGAGTGAAAACTGCTGAGGTATGAGCTCCACAGTAGCTGTGGAAACCAGTAGTTGGAAAGCAGGTATGTACACCTGCAATTCCAGCAACTGAGAGACTGGGCAGAACTGGTTCAAGGCTAGCCTCAGCTACAGCAACGAGCACCTTTACCCACCAAGCCATCTCACTGGCCAATACTTATTTTTTAAATATTTTATTATTTTTACTTTTATGTGTATGAGTGTATTGCCTGCATGTATGTAAGTGCACCTGTGCCATGTAATGCCCACGGAGGTCAGAAGAAGGTATCGGATCCCCCTGGAACTGGAGTTACCGATAGTTGTTAGCCACCATGTGAGTGTTAGAATCAAACCCAGTGCCCTTGACTGCTGAGCATCTCTCTAGCCCCATGCTTATTTTTTTTAATTAAGAAAGAGAACCCAGGGCAGTGCTGGGAGGAACAGATGTAAAGCACACTCAGATTGCACTGCCTCAGATGGTCTCCCAAAGTTGGGTTCTAAATTTCCTTGTCTCCCACTGCTGGCCAGCACCTGGGCCTGGAGAGAGGGCTAGGCAGTCAGGAGCACTGTCTGCTCCTGCAGAAGACCTGGATTCAGTTCCCAGCACCCACATGGCAACTTGCAACCCTCCCTGGACACTGCACGACATGAGTGCACTTATATACATGCAAGCAATACACTCATACACATAATATCCAAAATAATAATAATTAAAAAAAATAATGGGCACTTGGAGCCTTCCTGTTAAGCAGAAGACCTCAGGCATGTCCTTCCCCAGGCTCCAGGCACAGGAGCAGCTGGGAAAGAGGCAGCAAGAGCCTTGGATTGGACTGGTGCCTGGATGTCCCACTCTGGGTCACTGCAGGCTGGAGTGCCCTACTGACACCTCCACCTTCCACGCCCCATCTCACCTGCCATCACCCACTCTGTCTAGGCTCCACAACTCTACTACTGACCTCAGCAGGGGCCTCCTAACTGAGGACAGATCTACAGATGACCAGCCCTCGAGGGAAGCAAGGGGGATCAGAGTCCCACACCACCCCTTGTGTCCACATGGCCTGGACAAATCGAGGGAGATGGACTTGCCATACTGGAAGGTAGCAGGTGCCAAGTACCTGGAAACTAAGCAGAGGTTGTGTCAGATGGGCTGCCTGGGGTCACGAGGCTCCCAGGAGCTTGGCATGTCCTGCAACTCTGCACCCACATATCCTACAAACCCAGGACTCCCTGCTGTGTGCTCTGCTTTCCACACCTCCTGCCTGCCAGACTCTCCCACATCCGCCCTGACACAGACTCTCCCACATCTGCCCTGACACACAAGAACAGACATCAGACCAAAGCCCTCAGTTGGAGACCTCTTGTGCTTAGGATCCAACCCTAGCTGTTTACCATGACCACAGGTCCCCTGTCCACCCTCCCACTTGACCCCCACTGGCTCCTCTGCCCTGATGGGGTACACATGGGTCTCCTGACCGTCCTCAGCTCATCACTCCTGCTCCCTCAGCCCAGACATGTCCTCTTGCTCAGGTCTGCGCTCAGAGGCCACCACTGCTTCAGGAAGACCATGCTAGGGTTCAGCCTGGTCACCTCTTATTTTCTACAAAATCACTAAGGCTAGCGACCCAGTCTTCTCTCACTTCTTATCTGTGTGCTTTATAGTCTGAGAGCAAGAGAGGAGAGAGAGAGAGAGAGAGAGAGAGAGAGAGAGAGAGACAGAACTTACCAAGGCCGGCTCCGGGGGCGCTCCTGTGGGTCTGGG